CTTTATATCAGAAGGGACTTCCTGAAGCACAGACAGATTATGGGTCTGGCTCACCACATGACCTTAATCTCCAAAACCAGATTTGGAACAGATGCCTGAAATGGCTCTTTGCCTTCTCTTTTTCTTTTCTCTTTTTTTTTTTAATCTTTTTGACTGTTCTTAGCCCAGAAACCATAGAGGGAAATTTGGTGTACCTTCAGACATTCGATTTGAACCAGATGTACTCTCTGTCTGTAGCTTTACCGAAGGTGTTGCCAGCTGGGACATAGGAGGAACACTAAACTTGTGGTGAGTATTTTTAAGTAACTCGCTTATTTCAGATTCATCTTCTAAGCAAGTCACTAAGGTGTACACCACTGGTTCATTAGACTCTGCAGCTACCAAGGCCTTTCCAAAGAGGAATTCAGCAATGTGTAAACGACAAGCAAGAGGTAGATTGTCATCGGTGGAATAAAATGCCATAAGAGGTGCCTGGAGTGGATACTTGCTTTCTTCAGGAAATCTTACTTCAAGTTCATATACGGGACCATCACTGTTAGGTCGGAGATGAGCATCATCTACAGAGTTCCTGGCTGCTTTTAGTGGGTGGTTTGGAGGAAATTCATGTCCAAATCTGCATTTTGAACCAAACCTGCAGCCTCCTTGGAGATAAAATTTACATATTTCCTTTGAAGTCTGCTTTGCTGTGTCCCTAGTACAACTACCCTTTTGTTTAGATTTGCTGAGTCTGTCTGCTAGGTACTCCAATTCCAAACTAAAAGTCCAAACACGGTTTTGAATTCTTTCTACAAATTTGTCTCCATAGATTGACCGGAGTGCAAAAGCCTCTTCTTGTCTCTGTTCTAAACATTCTTCTTGACTGGCTTCAGCAGCCGTTGCAGAAACCTGCATCTTCTCTCCATATCTTTCGGTAAAGCACTGCAATAGCAAATACTCCAATGATGCCCCAATATTACCATTGCAGGATCTCAGTACTCTCCTACAACGCTCACTGTCAAAACCATACCTGCAATAAAACAGAGACAACATGGCAACAAGTGAGTGACAGAGACTTTTATGAAGCAAAATAACCACAGATCTGCTTGATTGGGCTTACAGTAAGGAAGGATGTATGGCATGAGATACTATTACTACTATTGGGGGAAAAAAACCCACACCAAAATATTTATGCTATTTTAAATGACAGCAGCAGCCAGTAATTCGGTGTCTGTGAATGCTAGTCTGTTGTTTATAAGGTGACAAATTAGTTCATGTGGCAACTATCTCACACCTCAGAATGTAACACGTAAGATTTACAGGATTAGATTTCCCAGTTGAACTATATACAATAAACTCTTCAGAAAAAGCTGAGTCCTTCACATATAAAACACTCTCAAACAAAGCAAAAATAGTTAATAAATGCTCATATCTGAGCAACATGGATGAAGAACACTTACAAGGTTTTGAAACATTACCCACCTGGAAGAAACATACATATAACAGCAATGCTCCCTGAGCTTTCCCAATACCTGTTTCATTGTCTTGGAGAAAGAATTGAAAACTTCACTGAAAAAAGGTTGGAGTGATTTATTTTCATAAAACCATTATTTTAAATTCATCTAGTTGAGGATTAAATTTGTAGGAGATATAAACTCATCCATTCTGCACACAGAACTTCCCTGGAGCGAAGAGGGAGTCCAAGCCCTGAGGGCTTACAGTATAGAGACTAGTGATTTACCTCCTCAGGATACATATTATTCACTGAAAAGCATCACCTGGAGAGTTTGTTCACAGCAAACGAGGACACTTCACTTTCCACAATTCTGTGCTCAGCTGGCTCAGCAGACGACCTTGGTATTATATCAGAAATTTCCGGATCTGTTGACCAGCACTGTTCATCATCAAGGTAATCACGTTCGTCATCGTCTTCACCAGAACCAGCTACTCTGATAAAAAGAGTTATCAAATTAAAATGAAACAAAATTATACTGTTGAGTAGTCACAAAACTGCCTCCGCAGTTTTAAATCCTCCATTTAAATGGAGGATTCTGCTACCCCTTTCCCAGAGTTAATATCGTAGAAGAACAAAGCAGACTCAAACCCACAGGATCTGAGATCAACTTAAAAGTTAAGGGGAAAGAGAATACTGGTTTCATTTCTAATAGTGTGCCTCCGTTTAAACTAACTCTGATTCAGGAGCCAGCTCCTGCCCTTGAAGCTCTTGAAGAAGTTCTTTCACTCTTCTCTGATTCTCCGATGTCATGTGTATGGTCTGCAGAGGCATTCTCGCTTCAGGTCTCTGTTTCGTTTGCCCTCCTCTTCTGGCAGGGGCATTTGATCTAAAAATTAAAACAGAACATAACAATGACTTCTTTGCCTGGCTCAGATGATCTTGACTGAATTGGGATGTTAGGACCCAACCCTGTAATTCAAAACAGGAAAAACAGAAAAAGACAAGTCCATCACCTAAGGATTATTCAGTTGGGTTCATTCTTATGTGACCAGGATGCGTGTGTCTATATCTGCGTGCGCACACACATGCATATGTGTATTTTATCCTGTGTCAAATCCAAAGTGATTTAATAAACACTTTGCTAGGTAAAGCTGTTCTCAGACTACAGTACAATGACGTATTTCTAAGCTAGATTGGTCAGAATACATTCAGCATACTAAATTCACTCTAAATTGCTTATTTTCCATGGCCCAGCTTCTGCTTTGTAATACACAAAAATGAATATCCTGTGTTTATTAGTGTTTTCTGATCAAAGACATTCTGAAATTGCTTTATGACCAAAGAAGAAAATCAGAGGTTCTAACCATTTTTTTAAAAAAAAAACAACTTTCCTAGCTATAAAATGTTGAAAATGTTAATCAAAAAAGACATGTAAAAACTGCTTCATACTGAAACAGCTTCATCACCCCTTCACTCTTCTGTGTATTCAAAGATGTCTAAAAACCAGCCCCAAAGTATCCCAAACATCTCTATGCCAAACCCCTCCAAATTAACAGAAAGATTGGGATTCCAGCCTTGGATCCTCGAAGAGACAAAAATCATCTCCATCGTCCCAGATTTTGGTCGAACATTTCCTATTTCCACCAAGTTTAGACTTGTTTGAATGGCCACTGCTGCCTCCTCCTCTTCCTCCTCCTCTTCCTCCTCCTCTTCCACTGCCTCCTCTCCCTCTTCCTCCTCCTCTGTTGGGCTTTCCTCTTTTCCTCCC